GACCGGGGCACGAACCCGCGTCCCCTGCATCGGCAGGCGGACTCTCAACCACTGCGCCACCAGGGAAGCCCCAAATAAAGGTAAATTTACATACTGCAGTATTAATGAACAGGGGCAGGGTGCAATGGCAACAAGAAGGTGTAAAGTTTAGACTGACATCTGAAGGAGTCATCTAAATTGAGGGGAAAAAAATCGTGAGATGGGGGAAAGGACATCCAGGCAGAGGGAACAATATGTGCAAAGACCCAGAGGAGGGACGGAGCATAGACTGTCTGAGGAAATAAAAGAAGCCTGCATGGCCAGTGAATAGTGAGGAATGCAACTGTGTTTAGAAGATGATTTCCAACGATAAGAATGATGATGCGGTGGTTTGAATGATGGTCCCCCAAAAGATACGTCCACCTGGAAACTATGGATGTGATCTCATTTGGAAAAGGGTCTTTGCAGATGTAATTAAATTAAAGCTCTCAAGATGAGATCATCCTGGATTATCTGGGTGGGCCCTAAATCCAGTGACAAGTGTCCTTATAAGAGACAAAAGAGGAGAAGACATAGACACACAGGATGGAGTGAAGATGGAGACAGAGGGCTTCCCTGGTGGCGCGGTGGTTGGGAGTCCGCCTGCCGATGCGGGGGACGCGGGTCCGTGCCCCGGTCCGGGAGGATCCCACGTGCCGCGGAGCGGCTGGGCCCGTGAGCCATGGCCGCTGAGCCTGCGCGTCCGGAGCCTGTGCTCCGCAGCGGGAGAGGCCACAGCAGGGAGAGGCCCGCGTACCGCAAAAAAAAAAAAAAAAAAAAAAAGATGGAGACAGAGATAAGAGTGATGCAGCCACAGGCCAAGGAACACCTGGAGCCACCAAAAGTTAGAAGAGGCAAGGAAGCCTCCTCCCCTGGAACCTTTAGAGGGAGTGCAGCCCTGCCAATACCTTGATTTCAACTTCTGCCCTCCAGAATTGTGAGACATAAAATTCTGTTGTTTGAAGCCACCAAGTTTGTAGCAATTTGTTATGACAGCCCTAGGAAACTAACACAGAGAGTAACAGAAAAGTGTCAGAGGAACCAGATAATGTAACAGGCTGTTCAGAAGGCAAGGTACTGAATTCCCTGTCACTGAAGGGGAAAAGGATGGGGACCTCCTCAGGAAGTCTTGTTTTCCAACTGGGATTTCCTCCGCCTCCATCAGAAGCATCTCAAAACTAAAAGCCACTTGGTGTCATTTACTTGAACCTCTGTCCAGGTGTCAAACCCAGGAACTGATCTCCCTCCCTCCTACGTTCCATCCTTCCCACCTGGCATCCATCCTACAAATCCCTCCAGGTCCCTCATCCTCAAACACCACTGTCCCCAGGACTTCGATGGAAACTTTTAATGGCATAAAATCACCGAAACTTCTTAAAGCAATAATACCCAATGTGGGCAAAGATGTTCAGAAACGGGCACTCTCATACACACTTTGGGGCAGGCTACATTGACATAGTTATTTTGAAGGGCAATTTTACGTCATGTATCAAGGATTAAAATGTGACCCAACTATTCTACTTTCAGGAATTCAGCCTAAGAAAATAATCTGTGACGTGCAAAATAGATTTATACACGCAGCTCTTCATGACGTATCTCTTGTCCGCCTCCCTAGCTCCATCTCTTCATCTTTTGCTGATCACTCACTTGAGCTTCATATACCAGCCAGATTAAACCCACATCATGGGAATGTGTGTGCTTTTTCGTTTTTCTTTCCACTGGGCTTCTTTCGTTCTCTTTTCTTTCTTTCTTTTTTTTTTTTTCTCTTTTCTTGAGGGCGATGAGGGTTGGATTGGGGAGATACTATCCTCCCCTTGCCTGGTGAACTCGTGCTCATCCTTCAAGGATGAACTTAGACATCACCTCCACCAGTTTCCTGACCTCCTGGGAGCATGTTGGGTGCCTCCTCATGATCTCCAAGTACCTCCCTTTGTGCTTGAAAAGCAACTACAAGTGATGAACAGGGAAGATGCTAGAGCCAGTCTCTGATTCTAGCACCCACTTCACATGGCTGTATGACTCTGGGCAAGTTACCCACACCTCTGGCAGTTTTCTTTCAAACATTTATTAAGGGTGTGCTGTGTACCAGGGATTTTCTGTATACTTTACAAGTAGCAAACCACTGAATCTCACAGCAACCTTATGAGGCAGGGATTATTACTGCCCACTTTCCAGGTGAGGAGACCGAGGCCCTGAAAGCTTAAATGGCTTGTTGAAGCTCGCGCATTGTATCTTGCAGAGCTGGGTCTGAATCCATGACGTCAGCAACAATGCTGTGCTGCTTCTGGGCCTCAGTCTCTTCATCTGGAAAATGGGGCTAATAGTAACAGTGCTCCCTCATAGAGGGACTGTGAGGACCAGATGAGCTGCTTATGAATGCACCTGGAGCAGTACTGTCTGGCCCATCTTCAGCACCTGGTGAGGATCAGAGAGTATTATCACTTACTGGACTATAATCCTAGCCCCTGTCTTTTATCTTTTCATCACTCTCATTAATCAGAGCCTAAAGCCCCCTGCTTACTATTTTCCAGGCACTCAAAACAGTGTTCATCTGGTCTTCACAGCAGCCCTAAGGGGGAGTCCAATTATTGCCCATTTCCCACATAAGGAAATTGAGCGGATCAGAGAGGTTGAGTGACTTACCTCAGGTCACAGAGGTGACAGAGCTAAAGCAAGACATTAACTTGGCTGGTCCCACACAAAGCCACCCTGCCCCACAGCCTCCCTTTCAGACATGATCACTTAACAGAGAGAAACTCCATCCCTGGATCTAGCACGATGAATATATGTCAAGTACATGGGCTATGGGGAGTCAAAAGTGGGACCAGCCAGGCCTTGAAGGCTGGCCAGACCCCTGAGAAATGCCCTCCCCCACCGCAGTCCTCAGTCACTCCTCACCTATGAGTAGGTTCCCCACCCAGGGCTCACCCCGGCCATGGGGACCATCCAGATGCTGAGCCATGGGTCCTCAGAGTCCCCCAGAGTGCTTCCTCCTGAAGGGACCTTGGTCTGCAGAGAATATCCTGTGAAATCCCCAGGGCCTCTAGAGGCAGCCAGGTGGTGGATCCAGCCCGGAACCTCAGCTCTGAGGGGAGATGGCTTGGACTTCCATGCCCCCGACAAGGGCCGTGCGCAAGTGCAAGGCTGGCAGAGCCCTCCTCAGTTTACTACCTTTCAGTGTCCCATTGTCTCCTCATCTTTGACCATGTCCCCGGCCCGGAACTCATGCCCTTTGCTCGCCCTGGTTACTCTCCTGGTAGGCAAACGTAGGCAGGGCCTGCTGGAAGTTCCCTGTCCTGCTGTAAAGTTGGGGAAACAGAGGCCCGGAGAGAGCAAGCGACTTCCCTGGATGGCCCAGGGACTCTGAAGTCTGGCCCTGGCTGGGGTCCCACGTGTCCGGGCCAGTCTGAGGTCCCATGTGGAAATGGGAAGTGAAAACCTTCGGGAGCCCTAGGTGGGCTGGTCAAAAAGAAAAGGAAACACATACTTACCGGGAAACCAGCTTTGCCAATGCAACAGCAAAGTCTGTGGCTCAGCTTTCATGTCTCTCCAGAATCTGACTACTTGTTACTAGCTCCACCAGCATCTCCCACCTGGACCACTGCGGTTGCCTACCCACTGGGCTCCCTGCTCCTGCCCTCACCTTCCACTGTCTGTTCCCACACGACAGCCAGCTGGAGGGATCCTATGAGCGCCTAAGTCGGTATTATCCCTTCCCTGGTCAAAAGCTTCCTCCCATCTCACCCAGCAAAAATGCTAACGTCCCTATAGTGGCCCACAAGGCCCCACGAGATGTGGACCCATCACTGTTCTCACATCCTGCTTTTCCCCATCACTCCCCCCACTCCAGCCACTCTGTCTCTCCACTGTTTTGTAAACACACAGAGCACAGTCCTGCCTCAGGGCCTTTGCACTTGTTTTTCTTTCTGCCCCAAACACTCCTCCCTAGATATCCACAGGCTTCCTCCCTCACCTCATTCAGGTTCTTGTTCAGATGTCACCTCTTCAGAGAGACCTTCCCTTGTAACCAAGCAGGACCCTATGGGGCCTTCCCAGGACAGACCCCCACCCCCGTGTCCTCTTGCTTGTAGAAAAGCTTTAGTCTTCCAGGCCTCCCCTCAGTCTCAAAAGGCTGGCTCAAGAGTTAGAAAATGTGAGGATGTAGAAACAAAAGAATCGCAGTTGGGCGGGGAAACTGGTAAGAGTTTGACTCTAGATCAGCCACACAGCAGAGTCACCAAGCTCCCAGTTCCCTGAAAGCTACAGATAAAGGTCTGACACACATTCCTGCGTTGTTGTTACAGGAAGCAGACCTCACCAGATGAAACCTGCCGGCTGCAAGCACGTAGACCCCAGACTGGTTGAAACGAGATAGGTGATGCTCAAAACTGTATCTTGATGCCAAACAATCCGAGAATTGTACACAAGCTGATCATAAACCCTGCCATGCCCTCCCTAACTCGGCCTTTGAAACCAATGTCTCCAGGACTTCCCTGGTGGCACAGTGGTTAAGAATAAGCCTGCCAATGCAGGGCACACGGGTTCGAGCCCTGGT